GGTGGCATGTTATTGTTGGGATCTCGGATTAATTTAATAAATATATAAATAGACATCTTCTTGTTTTATTGTTGCATCAATTTTAATCGGAAAAAATACTCACAAAGTAGATCAAGTGTATGGATAAATTATTTATTTACTAGAGTACATTTTTACAGTTATTTATGTGCTTAGTCTTATTTGCATGAGTGTACATAACAGATTGTTTTAATTAGATATACCCAGTTATCATTTATAACATATGGTTTGTTTAAAAATGCTGGGAAAACAAAAAAGTTAGCCAATTGAAATAAATGCACTAATAACTTGCTAAACATAGCTAGTTGCTATTTATTATATAAAAAAACATCTGTCAACATAAACTCATGCTTTTTCCTACCACTTGAGTCTCCACTGACCAGGTTTCGTTATGAAGATTTTTGGATTAAATCATGTGCGGATTTACTGGGGGGGGGGGGTTAGGAGCCCCCCCCCCCCCTTAGAATCTCTCTAACCCCTCTTATAAAGTGTTTAACCCCACCAAAATTTTGCTTCAAAAGTCTTTAATCCTAATTCCTAACCCCTGTAAAAAGCTCACTCGGTGGTGCTGCTTGCACCCCACTAGAAATGTTTCCACCAGACATCCACGACATCTGCAGCAATTAGTGGATGCAAATACTTGCATAGTTCAAAAGCAATATAACCAACATATTGTCCATCCAGTTCCATAGTCTAGTCAATAGGCAATTCCAGCTTTTAATTTATGTGTGCAGGGGCGGCAGGATGTAATGTATCATATAGCTGATTATGCTGAAAAATTTTAAGAAAATAAACTAAAAGCTGGAATTGCCTATTGCACTTGGGTCCCTTGGATTCAATGGTGCTGGCCATATTATTACATTCACTATTTTATCTTGTTCATGAAGAGTGAGGTATTGTGCCTTAATTTAATTTTCCAAATGATGTTGATAGTTTTTCTCACGAGCAGCACTGATGCGCTTGAATGGTACAGCATGTGCTATTTCTTCCTCATCACTTTCATCTTCTCACTTAAACGTCATCACTTGCTGCCCTGTCACCTCTTTCATTATCATATCCAACCTGAACAGGCTCAAGATCAGCCAACCACTCAAGTAATCTCTTTCTACAAAATCGTAACAAGAAAATTATTATTTGATACATTATCATCTCTAAAATTAGCAAACATATAACATCTAAAATTATATTCTCACAACCATCCACAACTAGATACAAACAGGCATCATACTCAGCAAAAATTTATAAAACAATACATACAAATAACTGAATAACAATATACCTTCAGACTCATCTGAGAACCAATGTAACTATCTGTATGCACTAATGCACATATATGTGAAAATCTATCCAATACAAACAGGCATCATACTTCAGCAAAAAGTTATTAAACAATTCGTTTAACTCAAAACATGTACATATCTATCACAGTGACACAGTACATATACACACACAATAGTAGCCTGCGAACACAATAGGGTCAAACTAAAGAAGAGGCATTATAAACACAAGTATGACGCCATAATTTTGTACAGTGTATTTATAAAATTACAGTACAAGAATAAAAACAACAAAGCGGAAATTTGACTATAAAATAACATGATAACTGTAATGCATTGTAGTATACCAACCTTAAATACTGCGCTTGTTTTCACGTTGATGATACACGGAGATTTAACGCCATCCCACTTAGAAAGAAGAGCCTTGCTATTGGGAATATAAAATTAAACACAATTCCTTTTCTCACACGGATTATTTATAAAGCTAAAATGACAGCAATGCCCATGCAATTTAAAAAAGGTAAACTTGATATAGCAAAACACAAGTCATAATGATGATCGCGACAATACAGCAATAACATGCTGTTTCTTTTCACAAAGTATCACAGCCTGACACTCTTGTCGTTCGAAAGCTTCCATATTGTTTTAGTCAGAGAGATATTCACTCCTCGACAGTCAACAGTCAATGAAGTCACGCGTGGAATTAGGCGCTCAATGCCCATGATGCTTTGCGGCCTGCTGTCCAACCTCCTCTGCACTATCATGCCGCTTTCCTTCCATGGGACCATACAGATTAGCTATCATGCCTGAAGGGGTTGCAACAGATTGAAACTTGATAGCATGGACTTTCTTGTGTCCATTATAAAGCATACGTTGAAATCGACCAGGTCGTGCAACAGGCCGAACAGTCCCATCGATAAAACCCCAGCAGTTGTCTAGAGCTGCACCCTTCCGGTGTATAACTGCGGCAAAAGTTTCTAAGTTTTCTGGCTGCAACCAGCCCTGGTCAAAATCAGTGAGTAAATTCTGCCATCGTTCATGAATTATATTCAGAACTTGATTCGAGATCATACACAACTGAGGTTCAGGTCTTGCAAATCTATGGACCATATCTACATATCTGCAAGGATATGCAAACCTCTTCAAGAAAATACACAGTCCCTCAATGTTATCGATCTTCAGGCCATTATAACATTTTCTATCAACAGGCAATTCCAGTATATCTACAAGGTTGTAAATATCATTTCGGAATAATCGAAACTCTGCCAAACATTCATCATCTGTCATTTTATCTATATCAAAGCTTTGGTAACGCCAAAATGGTACTCTATGGCTCTTTGGCTTAGTTGCATCGTACAACAGAGCAAATTCTTCGTCATCTATGGCATCCAAAGGATGTGCAAATACCGTAATTTCTCGGCATTTTGAATGAAATTTTATGAAGTCTGTTTTCATTCCAAGTTTTCCCGCCTTTATGCAGAAATCGTAATCACAAGTAACAACATAACGGCAACCTGAACGCCGACGGGAGTTTCATGTCTAATTAAATAAGTTGCCGTCGCCGTTGTCGTAGTGTCAGCGTAAGGTCTCTACTAATAGCCCAGCCACTTTGCCCATTTGATTTCGTCATTTCGAGGCCCTGTTGAACAACACACGCGCGATCGGAAGATGAATGATTATTGCCATGAGCTCGTAAAATATTTCTTAACCGCATGCTAAAAACTATCCGTAAACCGCTATTTATTTTGGTCAATAACCGAATCCGGAGGGTTAATTTCGACATTTTCCGTCTCCGCACGATTTCCAGTTAACCGCAAACCGTACAAAATAACTGGATATAATCGAAATCCGACCTCTAAATATGGGTAGGGATAAAACGCTGAAACTGAATCGCGGAAACGTAAACTGAAAGCGGGAAATGAAATGGGGATAAAACGCTGAAATGGGGATAAAACGCTGAAATGGAGATAAAACGCTGAAATAGGGATAAAATGCTGAAATGGGGGATAAAACGCTGAAATGGGGATAAAACGCTGAAATGGGGAGAAAACGCTGAATTGGAGATACAACGCTGAAATGGACAAATTTAATCGAATTCGTTGTTTGCTAGACCATTGCGAACACATGTAATTTGCCTATAAAACTGAATAAATACCGGGTGTCCCAAAAAAAAGTACTCCTGTTTGTTTCGTAATAACTTCTAAACAAGTAAAGCTTTTAAAGAGAAATAACTTGCATTAAGTAGAGGAAGGTCTAACTTAGATTTTGACATATTACAGTTGCATTTTACTTAAAAATCCACAGAGATATTAATGTTCAAAATTGGAAGCATCTTTTGGGATGTGTCTAAAATTAGCAAAAATCGGCATATCAAATATTAACTCCAGTGTTTGTTTGTTAATGACATATCAGGCTAACTTGTATTTCAGCGAATTGTCGTTAGGGTTTGTAAGGGATATGGCGTAGATTTAGACATCTTACATGTAAGTCTTAGCTCAATGTTTTCTGAAATATGAACGTTCGAAATTATGCAAGTATTTAATATTAGGTCATTACAAACTTAAAAGTACATGAAAGACCATGGAAGGCAGGCGCTTAAATTTTTCTTAAATAGCCTAATTTTCTTATGTTTTTAGTGGGTTCAAACAGACTGAGTTGATTACTTCTCGGTGAGAGCAGGATGAATATTATTCTTTATTGAAGGAAATAATATTGCTTTTTGCAAATACACATTCACCGTATCAATGCTACTATTTTGTTAGGTTTTGTTCCAAAAATGTTGCATGTCTCTAGGGAGTTGCTTAATTGTTATGTCTTATTAAGTTATATGGTTTGATTGTGTTTCATATAATTTTCAGTTTACTCTGAACTTGCCAAGATTAAGAAACGGCAAAAGAGTTTGGGTGTTCTTAACAAGATTTCAGAACGTTGCAGAAGTTAGAATTGCTTCACAATTCCATTGTGACAGCATGCCCTAATTCAGAACTACGAACGATCCATGACGATCCTTCGCGATGCAGTGGTCTCATGAAATAAGGAAACGTATTCGTGCTAGGAACACACGCGAACTTCGGACGAATAAATCTTGCTTGTATTTTGTGATACTATGATAATAATACTTTGTTTCATAATAAACAATTTGTCAAGTGTCGTTTATTTACTGGTAATAGTGCATGTTTCAGTCGGGCAAATTTTGATTAAAATTTGATACGCCGTTTTTTGCATATTTCAGACACATCCAGAAATATGCTCCCGATTTTAAAGATTAATATCTCCGTGAATTTTTAAGTGAAATACAACTGTAATATATCAAAATCTAAGTTAGGCCTTCCTCTATTTAATGCAAGTTATTTCTCTAAAAAAGCTTTACTTGTTTAGAAGTTATTACGAATCAAACAGGAGTACTTTTTTTTGGGACACCCTGTATAAGAAAGAAGTTCCCAGTAAAATGACAACCACAAATTTTCGAAGAACGAATTTTATCTGACAGTTTATCTTTTATTAATAATGTAATCTACAATTCTCTCCATATAATTTCAAACTCAACTTTTCAGTGAGGCGCGAACTCAACTTTGTGTGGCACCGTTGTTTTCTTCATCGTTTTTGGAGTTAAAAAAACTCGCCTTCATTCGAAATTTCGTTTTTTTCCTGTCGCTTTCGTCATAGCTATACATATTTTTGCTTCGTAATTTCAAACAGTAGAAAGTATAATTTTTTTGTTTACTTTAAGTTTAAAATCCGCAGCGGTCCGGTTGAGCGGTCCGTATCGTGAAAAACCGGACCGCAAACGAAGCAATTTGATTGGCTAAAAAGCATGGATACCGGACCGCAAAAAAATAAATGAAATTTATTTCGAGTGTTGAGAAAGATATCGAACGAGTGAGCGCAGCGAACGAGAGAGATATCTTCTCAACACGAGACGGATAAATTCCATCGATTTCCTAGCCCGCGTGCAGGCCCAAGGGAACTGATAGTGGGCCTGCAAGCAAGGCCCGGTATTTTGTACTTTCCGCGTTCGCCAACGAACGCGGCATTCTGATTGGCTGTTTGCTGTTGGATTCTATAATTAGGTCAGTGATTCATCACAAAGGCTCTCGATAAAGCTTAAAATTCGAAAATTGATCACTTTTTTCGATTACAAATGGAACAAGACGTTTTTGCCGTTATGCCAATAGGGATTGCTAATTGTCGTGAGGTGTTGGAATAGCAACATTACGACTGGGGTAAACTATAGTAACCTTTACTTGAGTTTCATTAATTTCAAACAGACTTGAAACGTTATATGTTCCTCAAGAAAATGATCTTTTGGTTGATGTTGAGATGCAGTTGCATGTAAGCCTATTCGAAACACTTTGCGATTTACAAGGCTTCGCTGAGACAGCGAAACAGAAGACGGTATTAAATTGCCGTTTGAAACGAAACGATCTGGACTCTGAACGCTCTCTTCTTTTGTACAGTTCTTTACCAAATGAAATAACTGAAATCAATTTCGTACTTTCCGCCGCCAACAAGAATTGCACACACGTTCTGATAAGTGAGACAATTTATTTATAACATGGCGACAGCGATGCACACATTATAAATGCTAATGTGGTCGCACGACTTCCCTCACGATTTGAAGTTTGAGACTGGATTTCTGTTGAAATTCGTCCTAATTTGCTTGTTCCGATTTTAGTTGAAAATGAGCACTTGCAAATTTGGCAATTACTGACTGCGTTGCTTGCTTTTTTGGAGTTAAAACGCAGCCATTTACACATCGTTTAAATAAGCAGAGAAAACCCCGCAACATTTTAATGCGAGTTTGTTTGTTAATATTTGGGTGCTGTCATTGGTTCTTTTTTGACAATTGACGCGCGAATGGGGCGTGTTATGAAAAGGGGCGTTTTACAAAATACCGGGCCTTGCTTGCAGGCCCACTATCAGTTCCCTTGGGCCTGCACGCGGGCTATCGATTTCCCAGCATTCATGTATTTTTGTGTTTATTTTATATACTACGAACCTCTTTTACCCGCCACGGCTCTTAATACTGATTTTTGATTGGTGAGTCAAAACACGATAATCGCACATGTGTGATTATCATGCATAAGAAACAATCAGAAACACCGTATATTCAGGGCCTCTTTTAACATATAGACTGGGGCCCCTCCAGTCGGAAATTTTCTCCCCCCCCCAGTGAGGTCCCTAAGAACTACCTGCAGTAGGTGGTCAACTAGCAATTATGTATCAAAGTGAGAAAATGATGTTAAGTTGTTAACATTTCTGAATTTGACCATTATCTGCAGGCCCGTAACTAGCTATTGGCCAACCGAGTCCGTTGACTCGGTAGGCCAGAATTTGCATGGGGACTTAAATTCAAACATCGCCAGAAACCTAAACCATGACTGACGTATATATATATATATACCGTATATCTAGGGGACTTAGCTTAGGGGACATTTTTGGTAAACCAAAAGACAAGCAGAAGATCACGGAGGTTAAAGGCATTGTTTATAAATTCGAATGTCCAGATTGCTCATTTAAGTATGTTGGAGAAAGTAAGAGATCGTGGAAATCACGTTGGGCAGAGCACAAACAAGGCGTAAGACCGGAGATTAAGTCAGCAATCAAAGACCACGCAGAAAGCACAGGACACAATGCCTCTATTAACAATGCTACAATCTTAGAGAAAAGAGTACATAATTTAGAAAAACGAACGTTCCTCGAGTCGATGCATTCAATATTAGACAATAAAACAATTAACGAATACAAAGAATTCCCACGCATGTATTTATCGCTTGTGCAATCATGTGGCAATAATGACGATATTTAAAACCTTGAACTATCTCATATTTTATGACGTTACAAGGCGTAATGCGTTTGGGGAATTCTGTTCTTAATAGTCACAGCGGAAAAAATCAAAACAATCCAACATGGCTACTGTCAAATGCGAGTGTGCTGTTCTTTGTCTTAGAGGCTGTTCAAGCTAATGAAGATCCTAGTTTTTTTCAGAACTGAACTCTACCCTGCGTAGCAGGCGTTTAGTGCGGGCGGGAGAAAAGAGGGTGTCGTCGAGGAAACGCCTGCCCAAATGGCTATGACTAATGAGTTTTCGCCCATTAAGGGTGATCGACGTTTTGTAATTCGCACCTTCACCGGTTCACCCATTATCCAATTATAGTCGACATTTATATTTAGCATCATGCATGTTTTCGTTTGCTCGGCAACTAGGGAAATTTCCTGCTATTTTAGACAACACAGAGCCGCTTTACCTTTTAAAAGGCTCCTGAACCACGGTTGTTTAACGTATTCTGCCGTGGCAGATAACAGTTGAGCATGTTTTGAAGTGTTATTCCTAAAATTATCGTCCAACTTCATAGCTACAATGCCAATTGCCTCAGCTATCTGGTCTTGAATTACACTTTCAAGAGGACAAATAACAAGACAACTATAAGAAATATTCGATCCACGTAGCAAATTAAAAGCAAATTCTAGCAAATTCTCTGTTCTGGTTTCAACTGAATTTCGAAACCTAAAAGACCGGCTTGAAATATCAGAAAGAGCTTCCTCCAAAGCATTAACAGCCATATTTTTATGAGAATATATACGCGGGCAAACTTATTGTTAACATTTGAGTTACGTAATTACTTCCGTCAACGAAATTGACCAATGGAAATTAAACCGAAGTTTTTTCGGTCAAAAACAATTTAAGGCCGTTTTCAACTAGGCGAAATTTTCCGCGCGGAGCGGAATTTTTCTTTGTCTTGTGATTTCTCGGGTCGAACTAATTAGAAAAGACAAAGAGAAATTCCGCCCAGTGAAAAACGGCCTTTAGTCATCAAAATTAGTCATAACTGTTATAATATAGTCGTTTTGAAATAAAACAATATATTTAAATGATTAATGTGAATGTACAAAGCATTGCCCGAGATCCGTCCTCGCTCAATACAATATGCCATGTGTTCCCTGTCCCGTGACTCAATCATGTGACCTGACGTCACAATACTATATCCCTCCTTTCCTTTTAGAATAAAACATTCATAATTAACAACTCAACAACTAAAACTTCAAGTTTGTACAGGTTTATACTATGTCCGTGAACTATTATAAAATTCTGGACTTCTTCTGTTCCGAGTTGGATATCTGCGCGTCAATTCCGTGTTAGGCATATCACCATGAAAATCCTTGATAATTTGATCTTGTGGTTCAAAGTTTGGGTTCGGGATTTGTTTAAACACTGAAACATTTCTGCTAATGTTGCCGCTATCTTTACTAGTCGCAGTGATCTTTGTCTCTTTTATTTCTGTTACTCTGTATGGCGTTTTACCAAATGGTGTAGATAGCTTATTTTTCTTTCGCTGTCGGACTAAGACATAATCTCCTATTTGAAGATTAATGTTCTTTGCCTGATTCCGTTTGTCCGCATATTGCTTCATCTTCTCCTTTCTCTTAGAGTCGTTGTTGATAGCTTTTTCACTGATGGTTGTCTTCGATGTCTCAGGGCATGGGTCTAACCGTTCCACACTTGGCAGTTTATTCCGAATTTTTCGACTGATACCAGTTGTGCAATGCGGCGTTGACCTGTAATTCAAAAGAAAAATATCTAACTCATCTTGCCATCTTCTTCCTTCGATATGGACGGCTCGTACAGCTTTTTCAAACGTGCGCATGAAACGCTCCGCTTCGGCATTAGCTTGCGGCCAGTAAAGCGTGATTTTCCTTTAACGAACACCATTTTGATTTAGAAAATCATCAAAATCTGCAGCGTTAAATGGGAGCCCATTGTCGCTTGTCAATTCATCTGGGTAACCGTGTCTGGCGAATATTTTTTTGAGACGCGAAACAACTGCTGTGGTGGTCGTACTTTTCATTATATCTACCTCCACATAGCGAGAGTAACCGTCAATAACGATCAGAACAGTTTCTCCAGTGGGACATGGACCACAAAAGTCAGCGTATACCACGCTCAATGGACGGCATTTCAGTCATGATTAACGGAGCCTTTGGCTGTGGTGCTTGGATAGTTGCTGACTGGCAAGGTAAACATGATTTTACAAGACTTTCTACAGCAGTATCTAGACCAGGCCACCACACTTTAGTGCGTAATAGTGCTTTAGTTTTGGCTATACCTTGGTGCCCTTCATGAGCAATGGGCAAAGTTCTACTCTGAAGAGACTTTGGAATAATAATTCGAGTGTCACGTAAAAGTATACCATTGTTAGTAATAGACAGTTCGTCCTTTAATTTATGACAAGCTGTAACGACATGATTTTCCTTGTGCTGGGCAAACTTGTTTGTGACCTGAAAAATAGTTGCTACCACAGTTAAAACAGTTACCAGTATATTTTCCGGATATATTCTCTGTTTTGCTTTCTTGTTGAAATCACTCGTTCTGGTCGCCACTTCGAGAACGATTGGTTGTAAGTCGATTCAGTTTGGTATCTTCTTCGTCGGCCATGACACTGGCATGACGATTAGCGGTTTCCTGTGCCCGGGCTAGTTCTTGTTGCTTTTCGAGAGTGAGTGTCGGCTCACGAAGTAATTTTACACGAAATACCTTTGACGGCTAAGTTATTACAAAATTATCTCGAATTTCATCTTCTACACTCGCAAACTCACATGTATCCGCTAGCTGTCGAAAACGTGTAATGAAATGATCAACCGATTCGTCAGGGCTAGGTCGGGTCTGTTTGAATACATATCTTTCGTAAATGACATTTTCAGGCTTCGGTTGAAAATAACTATCGAGTTTCTCCACAGCTGTTTTGTAATCTGTGCCAGTATCGGTTAACGTATTGAAAATCTTATGAACTGCGGGACCAGCAACGTAGAGTAGGAGAGCACGCTTTTGTTTGGCGTCCGTTATATTTGCTGCAAGAAAGTACATGCCGAATCATTCACGCCAGTCTTTCCATCGTTGAGCTAACGACGACTTGTCACTTTCGGCATCAAAAGCAGGCGGTGGTGCTAAATGTGTAAGTTTCGTTGCCATATTTCTTTAAAATAATCCTCGTCGTCAAATATAATATAGTCGTTTTGAAATAAAACAATATATTTAAATGATTAATGTGAATGTACAAAGTACTGTCCTAGATCCGTCCTCGCTCAATACAACATGCCATATGTTCCCTGTCCGGTGACTCGATCATGTGACCTGACGTCACAATACTATAGCCATTTGGGCAGGCGTTTCCTCGACGACGCCCTCTCTTCTCCCGCCCGCACTAAACGCCTGCTATACGCAGGCTACTGAACTCTTGCACGTGTCTTCGGAGGTTTGACAGCCCTGAAAGTAATGACAGTACAAGTAATAATAATTTGATGCCGGTTTATTGAAACTCTCTTGCAGTATTTACGCTGAATTAACGAGTCTAAAGTATTACTAAAACTATTTTTACAAAAATGAATGAGTACATTTAATTGTTAAAACTATGTACTAAGGTAAATGCAAGGTAGGGATTGCTGAGGTCATTAAGAGCAAATAGAACTAAATATAGTACAAATTATATAAAGCCGGCACAGTTATTACTCGAAGCGAACCAGCGACTGGCGGGCACTGTGGCCGAAGCTTAAGGAATCGATTCATGCCATGAGTGTAACAGAGAGAAAAAGCAATGCATTTGTTGTCAAGACCAGGGGTTAAAGGGCTATCACAGGTGACAGATACATGTATATTAAGAGGCAATTTTTTTTCAATGTCACGTATTTGCAATGAAAAGTGTTCAAAACCTAAAATCTTTTTGGCGTTCCTCTCAAAATTACTTTGTTTTAGCTTTATTCTCTGGTTTATAGAGTTAGCTACCTTTTTAAATGCATCTGCCGGTTGAGAAACATAAAATAATAGTTCAAAATTGTCAATTAAAATACAATTATCAATGATGCTATAAAATTGACGCCATGTTTACGGCCATGTAAGCAAAACTTACTGAACTTCAGACATCATTTTCTCTTTGGCGTATCATCTAAAATCTCTTCATTTTGGCATTATTTTACAGATAAAGCACTAAACATACTTTTTAAGTTTGTTTGCCGATTGAGAAGCGTATCGAAAAATAAAAATTTTGAATTTAGTCATAACCTCAAGTGATATAATCAGATACGCATTAGTTTTGGGCGCGTGTTACGTAACATACATAAAAATCTCCTCTTAAACATGTCGTCTCATTGAATAGTTGCGCCAGTTAATGTTAATGTTTATGGAAAGGTAATATTCACTAAAGCATAATTATGCAAGAATATATATTTCCAAGCCCAAGTCGCGTATAAATACAAATGACAAAGCATTCTTAAGAGATACAGCATAAATATGTAATATTTCCAAGACCAAGTGCCGGCAACTGGAATCAGTTGAATTACGCGCTGCTTTAGTACGCGTACAGGTAAATTATATAACACAAGTTTTTGCTATAGGCTCATTTACCACATCATATATATATATATAAATATATATATATATATATATATATATATATATATATATATATATATATATATAAAAAAC